GGAGTGTATTTTGGAATGGCGCGGGAACATGGATCCGCGCACCGGGAAATTAATATCGTCGCCGGGATGGTGGACGTTTTCGACCGGGCGTGCAAGTGACAAGGGCACTCTGGCTTTTGCCGCACGCGACGTTCCAATAAGCGATACGCGCGACCAGCAGTGCACCGGCCTAGCCTCAACACAGTCCAGGGCCCGATTATTTTTCTGGTTATTACTCGATATCTGAAAAACTGCGGCGCTTTCGCTGCTGGCACGCGCTCGCGCGCGATTTGACGTAAAGCGGCTTTCCACAGCGCACAATTTGACGGGCGTTAAATCCTCCGGTCAGACTTCGTGGCGCTGATGAGATTCGGCGCGTTCATCTTTATTAATGGACAGATCGGCGATAACGCGCGTTACCATCGCGCCGCGACTATCCGTTACACGAACGATGCGATGTCCCGCCCGATGGACATCGAGCTGTAGATTGGTTTATTGATTGACCAAACGGATCGTGGACCACCAGTGATTTAAGGACGCTTACATCCTGCGCTTGGTTTATGGTGTTAAGTTGTTGCGCGATGTGCTACATCTTTAGAACGCGGATGGGTAATGCCTCGTTCCATTGAACGGTTCGGCTATTTTGGTGACTGTCAGTAGGATGGAGTTGATCGATGTTGAATAGATAAGATTAGTTATATACAAAGATTAATCTCGGATACAATGTGCGAATAAAGTACACTATTTATTAATATAAGACCTAGACTCCAAGAACGAATGTTTGTATAAATAATAAATAATGTATTCGACAAGAATTGGGGGTTTAGGCGAACTGCACCACGTACTTAGTCTCTTGTCACTCACTCACGAGTCAGTCGTTCTAGAGAAATATATCTTCCTTGAGTAATAAAAGAATTGAAAATAGGATTATATGCATCGTAGTTATTTTGCAATTATAAATCCATAATTCCAACAATCGGGCGTGTCATGGGAGTAAAAAGAAGTAAAATGTGTTGTAGGACTCTGAAACTTAAAGATTTCTGTTCCGTTGGTGCAAATGAAATTTTGTCCTTCCGAAGTTTATTATTAACCCTTTGCACTTGAGAGGTAACTCGGTCACCATTTAATCAAATTCTAAAGATTGACGTTAATTAATATGTCAAATATAAAATTGCGTAACGATGTGTAGAATGTCGAAGAAAAATAATTCTACGTCTTAATTTGCATATGATTTATCATTTACCATTTCAAAAATTTCGTCGACTCTATGATAGAAAGTCTTCGAATTACTATTTTTCTGTAACGAAAAAGTCGTAGAGCGCAAAGGGTTAATATTGAGTAGAATGAGAGAAAGGATAAGTCTGCAGAGAGCCACATTAACCCATTAAGGACCAACTATGAAAATATAATGATTTTTCTATTTCCTTTTTATTTCCTTTGATAATGTTCCTTTTAATAATGAATTTCCGAATTAAATGGAATGACAAATTTTTAGCGTCGTAATTTCGAAATAGATTGAGAAAATAATGAAAATATTTCGATCCTATTATGAAAAAATCAGAACATTCGAGTGATTATCTTTAAGGAATTTAAACTCGATTATGTATTGTAGATAGAAATATAGAAGTTCGAACAACTTATGGTCAAAAACTTTGTTATTTAATACACTGTAAATAATCAACGAGAAATAATAAGAAACATAGTGATTTATATAAAAAATAAAGATTATTTTTGTGAGTAGCTTGGAAAATTATTCATGCCACAGGTAGACACACTGATCTGCAACGCAGAGACGTTGAACGCGTGCTTAATTTGGGAAACGAGCCCATGATTCCAAGTTTTCCCTCGACTTTTAGCGCTTTCCTGAGTTTATGATACGTCAGTCACTGTTCAGAAGTAAGAAGAAACTCTAAGTCCTCCAAGTCCTAATTAGAATGCGGAGTTTACGAGCAACGCAAAGCAGAAATCTCTGCTACATACTTTCAACCTTTTCTTTATGATTAGTGCAAGATGGAAACCACGTACCTAATAGTCGTAAATTTAAGATTAAATAATACCCAAATTGGGGATGAGAAAGTATCGCATAAACGAAATACGGTATCAAAACTCTCAAAACGTGACATAACGTTATATAACCGAAGATCCACCTATGACCAACCTAAATAAACGAATTTAGTTTTATTATTACTTTATTATTAATATCAATATTAACTATAACTTATAAAAATTGCTATAATAGACTATTATACTATCCCAATCCTAAAAATAACCGAACGTATTCAACTGTCTTAAAAATAAGAACATTCCTAGATATTTCTAATACATGATCAAACCACAAACCTATACGAAATCCCTAGATGTAGCAGCAAAGAATATTCGTTCCGAGATTAGTTCAGGGAATCCAGTTTAGTGCATTGGCATAACGCGAATACTAAAGACACTGCTTAATGCTGTTACTTTGGTGTACGTAACAACCACACCGATGAAGCGGATTTCAAATAAGCTTATCAAATCAATGGATACGATAGCAGATTAACGTAGACTGCCTCAATCAAAAGCGCTTACCGATATCCTGTGGTAGTGTAATAGGATTACAATGCTACATTGACGTGGAAGCATTCTTCCTTTGCGACCTGTATGATACGAAGCACGTATGAAGTGTTATTCCTCGAATCAGTGGCTCCTGTTGGGTTGGAACAATAACTACCGAACAATAGGTGCACGAATTTCTCTACTAGAAATTCAGTCCCCGGTATGCAGTTCGAGTCTAGAAATATTGCGACAAGGAAATAATTGCTTTCTTAAAAGCTGAGTCTCCGGTACGTAATTCGTTCTGAGAAATATTTCCACGGAAAACAATTCTTCTACGCTTTGGTACAATGTATCGTGTTCTATGTTATACATAAGTATATATTATGTAACATTTACATCCTTCTGAATTGGAGAATTAGACGACATCGACGATTGAGTTATTAGACATAAATATCAACCTGTATTTTAATTAGAATAACGTAATTGAGTGTTAAAAATATTTTTGGGTTCATGTTTGTAACTTTGAGGGGTTTAATGAAACTCGCGATATATTCTAATATTTATAAACAAATTTTTGTTCCGAATTTTGTGAAGGGAATCTTGAGTTTTACTTAATTGACCAATTGTCGTTTCCTGTTTTAAAAATAAATGGTAAAATGAATATTCGACATAACGTGTTAAATTTTTTCATTTTATGAACAAGTTAAAGTATAACTCTCGAGCAACTAGGTTACATTTTAATGTCGGGTAAAGAAGTTTTATTTCATTCACCAGCCCAGCGAATTGGACTTCGAAGATTGTGGAATTCAGATGCATTTCGTTCTACGTACAAATATTTGCAATGGAAGCAGGTTTCTGCGAATGAGATCTGATTTCACCTTGGAAATAAATTTCCTTTCAATTTTTATCTTATTTTTTACTCGGTTAAAGTTCATTTCATCAAACTTGCAGGGAAAATGTACGAGCGACATTGCAATATTTCGAATATGAAAATGCAACAAAATTTCCTCCGAAATAAAATAAAATAAAAGAACAAGAGAAATAGGCGAAAGATGATCAAGATTTCGTTAATGCGTGTATATAAGAGTCAAACACGGTAGTCACAATTTAATATGCTTCATACGTTGCACGTGTGTCGTGTGAGAAGCGTATAACTGGTGAAGTACGAGACTGCAACTTCTACCCTAAAGGTTCCAAGCAATGATCTGTAGCCCTAAGTACAAAGTTAAACCATGGCTAACCCATAGGTGGACTTTTGGCAGAGCTGCGCTGAACTAATGGCGCACTAACTCAACATTGATCAAGTAACAGTGTATCGTACATAATGCCGAATTTATGTGATACTGATAGGAGTATGTCAGTTCATGTATCTACGTTTGCAATATTGACTGCAAGAGTAATAAAGGTACTTCTGACTTCTACGTTTCGCGTTGAAAATTCACAGGCTTCGTATCTCTGGAAAATTTACGAAAAAAATTCAAAGAGAATTTAAAATGTAATTAAAGCCTTTCAAAAATTTTTATGATAATCATAAATAAAAATATCGCGGATAAATCCAGTACAAAAGGAACATGAAATAAGTATGGTTGTAGTATACAATGTAGTATATATATAGTATGATAGAAATTCTTCGAATTACTATTTTTCTGTAACGAAAAAATCGTGGAGTGCAAAGGATTAAATTGGGATAAGACGTGCCATAGTTGGTTACAGGTAGAGCAATCTTGTTTGAACGCGACGAAGAATAACAGGTAACTGAGACGGAAAGGTATCGACGAAAATTTACGTTGGGCCCTATCTACGAACCATGCCTCTCTCCCATGACCCTCATGTTTGGCTCGATCTCGTTATCACGAGTCTCACACGATATTCTAGTCGAAGGGATTAACCTTAAAATTGCAAAACAAAACGAATATTTCTAAATAATTAAATATTTCTATAGATAACACGTTACAAGCATCAATTACTATAAGAAAAGAATTAATAAAACTACCATCGAAATAGGTCCTAGACGAGCAAAAGCAAACATATTCACGTTTTAGTTAAATAAACCATAATTGTACTGTCGAGTTAATGTCTACGATTATTATTAATTTATAATATGATAATATTTGGCCAGTGAATGCGTAACTATAATGGAATCGATACGTACTGTTAGATTGGCTCGAAATAGCTGATTATAATACAGTGATAGTAATCAAATATCGAAACCTCCATTCACCGTCTCCACCTATACTCGTCTGTAATGCATAAAATAGAATATCATTGTATATCATAAATTACCACTCGCAAATCAAAATAGAAACCGTAGCCAAATCTCTAGATCACTAATTGAAGGCAGAAATTATTTCTCTATCACGAACATAATCTTTGTTATATATTTCTGCAAATTTATCTGCAATTTGACCGATACATGACCGAAAGCAGGGTGTAAATTCGCGATCACGAGCAAAAACGTGCCTCTAACATGAAAAATTCGTATTTTCCAGAAATCGATAGGTCGCCTTCGATGCATAGACCAAGCACGAGGTGGGACAAGAACAGTTGGAGAATGGATCACAATCACGAAAGGAACACGACGGGTATGAAAGACGAACCGATGTCGAAGGGTATCGAGAATGCTGACGAGATTGATTTCCAAACAGCCACAGCCTCGTCGCTCTTTCATCGCCATTTATTTGCAAACATCGGTATCACCGCTGTCACCGCCATTTTGGTACGAGGCCTGTCGACGTAGGCTTCTCTGTGATCGCAGTCACGCCTGAAATTGATTAATTCGCGTCCGGATGAGTCTTCAGGGTCATGCTAGTCGCGAGCACCGGTTACCAGATCGCAAATTCGAGAGGAACAGGGTCAAGGTGCACCGAGGACCGGTTTAACATCTCTTCCTGCCTACGCCAACACTACGGATCTAGGAAGAACCTGGGCTGAGATATCGAGAGAAAAAGTGTCTTCTAATATCGAGATTGCTCGGAACAAAGCGTATGCTTAGGGCAGCGCGTGTTCCTCTTATGCGAAAAATCCCGTTCGTTTATTAACCCTTTAGCTGCGAAAAAGTTCAAATTTAATATATTTCGAAATTTAATTAAAATTCATTTTATCCGCGTTCTAGTTGCGATCCATAAATTTTTTTAAAAGTAGATACGATAAGTAATATTATTCTTCCCTTACTAAAAATTATTTTTTACCAATTTCATATGTGCGAAATTTTTTTTCAATTTAATATGATTAAATTTCTTTCTTTCTTTTTCTTTCAAGATTTTTTTAATATCATTTATTAGAAAATATTATACCAAAAGTTTCAATTTCCACCGTAATTTTCTCAAAATAAAATTTCTACAAATCGAGGAGAGTTAAGTCACTATATAGTACTCAAAAATGCCTCGCTAGTGCGGACCATTAAATCCGATGACGAGTTCAACGCTTCTAATCCTTGGTCTGTTAACTTGCAAATACGGTGTTCGGGAACAGCAATTTCGCTTTGTAACTGGCGACAGCTAAAGGGTTAAGAGTAGTTTTGCCAGTAGCTTTGAACCGAACGAACTTCGCGTTTGTTTAGAACAACGAGGCTTGCTATGTTTCTTCTTCCACCGTGAGTTACTGAGTTATATTTTATAAATCGAAATGATAGCGTATTTTCTTTACGTCGAACCTCGTGTGCTGATAAAAGGGCGTTCAGACGATTAACGAAAGAGACGTAAATTAAGCAGAAATATATTTGTATCTGAAAAGGTGCAGACAGCTCGCGTTGAGTTTCTCCGCAAAAATACAATTTTCGAACCGAAACTTTCGAGATGGTTTTCATGAAAATTCTTAATTTTGCTGAGATCCATTTTATTTTAGGTTTTAGACGGTTCAATGGGCCTAGCACAATAGCAAGCGAACCGGTTCTACTTTCCTACATTCCTCTAGTCGGAAATGCTCGCTTAAATTTACTGCGATTTATCAATTCGCATTATCAATCCTTTGATACCGTTAACGAGAAAATAAATTGAAAAATGTCGGAATTTTTACTTTTAATTCAATGAATCATCGTATTGCGAAAGGAATTCCTTTGAAATCTAAAGATCACCCTTGTTCGTCGTTATTCATTGTCTTTGATGAACGAATCCGATTAACCCTTTGACTGCCACGCCGAAATCCCCTGTTTCCCCCAGGATGCCACGGGAGTGTACTGCTAAATGTAAAATTTGTCCTATTTTTTCGATTGTTGTTCTAATAAAAATTTTTAATTATTCAATGGGGCACATTTTATTTCGAAGTCTCTTCTAATTAGCTGTTATATTCAAAATGCACAAACTGTCGATTTTCATTCAATGTAGTTCAATGTAGTTCAAGTAGTTCCAGCACTCCGGTCACCAATGGCCACCGTGGCGTCACAGGAGAAACCGTGGCCGGTCATATATGACCAACATGGCAGTCGAAGTATTAACCCTTTGCACTCGAGAGGCGCCTCTGAATCGCCATTTAATCAAATTCTAAAGATGGATGTTAATTAATATATCGAATTTACAATTACCCAACGATGTTTGTAATATCGAAATAAAAGAAATCTACGTCTTAACTTGCACACGATTTCTTATTTACCGTTTTGAAAATATCGTCGACTTTATAGCAGAAAGTCTTCGAATTACTATTTCCCTGTAATGGAAAAATCGTCGAGTGCAAAGGGTTAACACGTTCCGTGCCACGTGTACCATTTGTGGTACACGTTAAACTTGATCTGTAGACCACGTGTACTACAAATGGTACACGCAGACATATTTATTTAACGCACCGAAAACATGTTTCATGACAAATTAAATTCTCTAAAATCAAAATATCAATTTTTAGCCAAAGCAAGAAATGGCCCGGAGATCATGTCGGGCAAAAATCGCTCGGCAAGGAACGTTAAACCGTAGTAAAGTCGTGGAGATGGGTCGTTGAAACTTAGGCGAGCATTACTGCAACTTGTAATATCGTTTAACGACATGTGATACGAAATTCGAAGAACACCTTCACCAAAGGGTGTTTCCGATTACGTTTTACCTTCGGTCGATTTTTACGCAATTAACATATAAAATTGTTCGCGATGTTCATTGTAAAATTTAATAATTTTAAGATTGAAACGTTAAGTGTAATTTATACCTTTAACCTTTTGTAAGTTTCTATTGTAAAAAACAAGAAAAAAGGTGTCGTGAAATACCGAGTATTTTTCGCCCAATGAGTATAACGCTTGTAACTAATCTACGTGTAAATATCATTTTCATAACGTAAGGACATGCTTTTTCTTTACGACAATAATGCATTCAATTATTAAATTAAAAACGGTAAAAACGGAGCCTATTTATTCGTAACATCCAACAGCGTAACGTTAATTCCCAAATTCACGATATTACGTTTTCATCGCGTTATAGTATTCGCGTTACACCATAGTATTATATGAAATGAGATGTTTAATGTTATTTCACCGTACATGCCGAAGAACTATGTATTTTTCATTGTGAATTTTCGTTTCTTTGTTTTGTAAATATATATGTAGATAAAAGATTTGACTTATTTTAAAATATTGCCATTTTTAAGAACTCGTAGGAAAAATTGTAATCAACTGCCCTGATGTTACCGAAATTTTGGCAATAAGTTTAGAAAAAGCATACCACATCATGGTACATGTTTATCATATAAGTTATTAATTATTACGGCTGAAATACTTCAAGTATCAAATTTCACTGCTTGAGAAGTTGATTCTCATATGGGATGGTTAACGTAACGTTTAATCGCGTTAAATCACGATGGTAATACAAACGAAGTGATTCTGAAGTAGACGGCTGACTTAACACGGTTTACTCTACTTGACTAGGAAAAATATTTCACCTGTCCTATATGGCCGAATATTTCCATTCACTGATAATTGGAAATGTTCAATACAATTATGTAAAACATTTAATTATTAAATATTTTAAATTATTGAAAATTTATATATTTATTTCTTAACACGAATTTATTTTTCGAGGTAAATTAAATTTATTCAAAAATCGAAAATATGCGATCGTACATCTTCGACGAATTTTTAATATTATTTTTTAACAAAACAAAAATTTTTTAAAGAAATTAATTCAAAATTACCGCATTCCGAACAAAAGTTACGGTCGTCCCTCAATTTACGCGGCGTATCCGTTCCACGTGGATTCTTTAAAGCGAAAGGAAATATAAATAAAGCCTAACAGTAATAGGCACGTCTGAATGATTTGGCTTTCCTTTCATCTCTGCCGCTAGTCTCAACAGATGTTCGCCTATTGGTTATAAGCACGTGACGAGATAACGCGGGCCGGCCACATAAATTAAGGTCTATAAAAAGATCTATAGAAACTAATTTTATTCTAAAAAATTCGAAATTCTATTCTAATTCACTGCGTGCAAAGAAGACTCACACGGAAAAAATGGCGCGGTAATTGAGGGAGCGGTGTAATTACTTCGCGCAATGTGGCATTATTACGCTCGTGCTTTCAATAAGTTCGTCCACTTCAAAGACAAGCAACCGTCGCAATTGCATAATTCGCGCAACTACTTCAGAACCACCATTCGTACCATACATTCGTACACGAACATTTTCATTATTCGCGCAAATGCAAACAATGAGTTCGAGGGAGAAACTGTGACCTCAACCCCTTCCAACGATTTCATCGTTCCGCAAACGCGTTCGCGAGTTCTGTATCCGATAGTTAACGATACGATAACCGAGGTAGTACGATATCGATTACGAAATCAATTACGATAATGTATAAAGACGAACTGTGCGTCCCCGGAAAGAAGACACAGCGCGTTTACATCCTCACAATTGACAAACTCCGCTGATAAGCTCCAATGATCACAGACAGTGACCGTCATTGGTCGAAGACAATGACGAAGGTCATCAAGGAGTTGTAGCGAGACTTAGTGAGATAGAATATGCCAGCGTCGACGCAGTTTTCCAATCTAAATATTAGTTATTAACCCTTATCGCTCGTAAGTCACCATTTTCGCATATTTACCGAAATCAGCTATAATCTAGCGAGAATCACGTATAAAAAGCTAGCGACCGATAAGGGTTAACCTTTTGCACTCGAGAGACACTCTTAAGTAGTCATTAGATAAAATTTCGAAGATCGATATTAATTAATATGACAAATTTAAGATAATGTAACGATGTGCGAGGTATCGAAATCAAATAATTCTACGTGTTAATTATTACACGATTTCTTATTTACTGCTCAAAAAAATATCGTCAGCTTCGTAGCAGAAAATTTTTCAACTCCTACTCTTCTTTAGTCAAAAAATCGTCGAGTGCAAAGGGCTGCGACGGCATAATTCTCACCCTCACCAATAGAGGAATTTCTATCTGAAGGAAGTTCGAGGTCTTCCTCGCAAGTAATCTCCAAATTTTCCGATAGTAAAAGTAATTTTGAGATTTTCCTTACTGAGGAGTTCACTAACAGGTCAAGAACGAACGAATCCCTTCCTTTTCCTTTTCCTTCTAGCACCACCACCATATAGAGGAAACCTGCGACTAACCAACAACAGCAACCGTGAGGGAGGACCCCCCACAGAATTGAAAAACAGAAAGCTAGTATTACGATTGAAAGACTACGCCGATGCTGACATTATTCCATCTCGATCCATCTCCCTAGGGCCCGTCGATGATCCTCTTTAACGTCTTCGACCAATACCGATCAGTGTCTGTGATCATGAGAGCAGTGTCAACAAAGTTAGTCAGCCGTG